ACCTTGCCCCACATCTTAGTGTCATCAGCAAACTTGGACAGTGTGCTTTCCACCCCCTTGTCCAAGTCGCTGATGAAAATGTTAAACAGTGCAGGCCCGAGGACCGAGCCCTGGGGTACCCCACTGCTCACATCTCGCCAGGTTGAGTACAACCCGTCCACCACTACTCTCTGGGTGCGCCCCATCAGCCAATTTTTTACCCATCCAGCTGTGTAGGAATCAATGCCAAGGTCGCCTAATTTATTGATGAGAATGGGGTGAGAGACAGTGTCAAAGGCCTTCTTAAAGTCCAGAAAGACTACGTCCACGGTGATAGCATCATCCAAGGATTTCGTTACTTGGTCATAAAAGGCAATCAGGTTGGTCTGGCAGGACCTGCCTTTGATGAACCCATGCTGGTTGCCCCTGAGCATGATCTCCCCTGCAGGCCCCGCACAGATGAGCTCCTTGATGATTCTCTCCAAGATGTTCCTGAGCACCGAGGTGAGGCTTACAGGCCTATAGTTACTTGGGTCCTCCTTCCTCCCTTTCTTGAAAATTGGGACCACATTAGCCAGTTTCCAATCCCCTGGCACCTGGCCAGATAACCACGAATGCTCATACAGCTGGGCCAAGGGCTCTGCGATGACCCCTGCCAGCTCCCTCAACACCCTTTGGTGGAGGGAATCTGGACCTGCAGATTTAAAAATGTCTAGCCCTTCCAGAAGATCCCTAACTACATCTGCGCTGACTGAAGGCCTGACAGAGCTATCCCCAAGATTGTCCCCGCCTCTGGTTAGTGGGATATCCTGGTCCCTGTTCAAGAAAACAGAGGCAAAGAAACTGTTAAAAATATCAGCTTTCTTGTCTGGCATAGCCACAAGATTACCGTTTGCGTCTAAATCCCCTTTCTCCTCCTTTGCTTACAACCCAGCAGATATTAATGGAAGTCTTATCAGCCTCTGCTGCTACAACACATGGATTATGCATTTCCTCAAATCCTTCTCTAGTGACATATGTATATGTGATAGAACCCACATACTTCTAACAAGGAGTTACTGGAAGCTTCTGTCCACCTTCCTTCCTAACATCTTCATCTCCATAGACCACGGACTCTGTCTTCGTTGTATTTACTTTGAGACCTGGGCACTCATTCTCACTGTGCCATTGTCAAAAGTTTTCTTGTCCTCCTAAAATGCCTCTGCGTATCAGATGCCCAATCGCTGTGATAAAAAGAGGCTAGGGGCAGGGCTTAGTGAAAACCAGTTTTCATTTCCAGAAAATCTAATACAGGGGCTTGTTCTGGTTTGGGTGGAGGTTTGATAAAAGGACTTACTTTTTACTAGGTCAGTTTGCTTTTCTGGTGCTTTCTTTTCTCTTTACTTCCCCCAAAAGATTTCCTTAGAGAAGGGCTCAGATGCTTTTTCTAACCCAACAAAGAATGCATAGACTATATCTACACTATAGGTTTTCACATGCTTTAAAATGTGTCTCCTGCCGCCTTTTGTCCATATCCATGACTCCCAGGAACGTTGTTTCAAAGCCTGCAGTATTTGCCAGCCTGTGTACTCATCTCCCCTCTTGGGCTGATCATACCATTGGATGGGATGATTGTTTTAGTTGCTACTACAGTTATTATAAAACCATCCTTTCCAATGCCTGGATTATGAATCACCCTCTCTCCCAGAAAAAAAACTCATTGTCAGCCATCTGTCATTGATTTGTTTCATTGCCACAAGTCCTTGATTGAAACCTTCACTGAGAATAAACTCATTTCTGCTCCTTTGCCTGGAAATACACTAATAAGATAAATGTTAGCCCTCCATAAGTTTGTCCAATTACTCTTATTTTTGGTACCTTGAAAATAGTAAAAATGTTATCTTTCTGCTTTCTAGTACATCACAGATCACTGCATCTCTACCTTGTCCCTGGTGACTCTGTCAGTTTTCTGCCTTTTTTATACCTGAGAGTGGTCAGGGCTTTGTTTCCTTTGACCATCCTTCCACTACCTGGGTGACAAGGACCTTTGAAGCCTTCTCCTAGCAGTGCCTTCTCTTTTCATCTTAAATGCCCATCCACCTTTGTCCTTCTGCATCATGGTGTATGCATAAGACATCACCCAGACCTTCAATGTATATGCCTAGACAGGAGTATAAAGGAGTGGGTGGAGGCTGTCCAGATCTTTCATACCCATTTTAGACAATTGAGACAGAATCCAAAGCCCAGACTGAGTTCAGAAGTTCAGTGCTTTGTTGGCTGTAGTTGTGTGCATCCAGGAATCAAACCTGGGTTTTCCATGTGGCAGACTAGGATTTTACCACTGAGCCACAACAGCAGGTTTTCCATCCAGTACGCAATCACAAACACTTTAACCACTGCTTCAAACAGGATATCGAGGTCCCACACCTGACTTAATCTACCGCATCCGGCGAGGACAGGTGGAGCTCTGGGTCTATGATGATGAGGACCATGAAGATATCTCAAGGTTGGAGTACATGCTGCCAGGTAAGTTGTGGCTGTCCCTTACACCTGACTCCCCTGTCAGAAAGCCCCATGCCCAGAGGGACAGACAGAAACATCAGCTACATTTCCACTTATTTAAAGGTGAGCGCTGCTAGTGATGGGGATATATGCTATATATACCCACCAAAGAAATAATCTTTTTTTGCCCCTATATTTTTAATCCTGGAAACTGCAAATCTGCCCTGTGCTACCATTCTAAGGTGCTACCCTTTAATAGCTTATGCTGTAATGTGTCAAGGCAGGTATTGTTCCCACTCCCTGAAATTCAAAGCTGTAGGACAAGCAGCTGTCCCCTTCTTCTCCCCCTTATTTTGGCTGTTAGGGGACAATTGAGTCGGTTGTCCTGATTTTTAGGTACAGATCTGGTTTCCCTGGGGTACCATGATTTTAAATGTTCATCTTCACTCAAAGGAAGAATTGATCTCCCACCCCAAGGTCCATACCTCTATATCACCCTCTCCCCAGGCATGGTGGGATGGTAGTCCCCCATGGAAATCAGCATGGCTGGCCAAAGCTCTGTAACCATTATGATGGACAAGAGAGAGGCTGGGGTTGTCCCTAGTTTCTCTTGGTTAGGTTGACCTGGAACCCAGGAAGTGCTTAATCATGGTCTCAGGCTGCATTATATGTATGCATGGGATTCACAAGCTTTCCTGTTGTGGGGGGAAATGAATACCCCATGGTTTGCACCAGAATCTCCCCCTTTTCTGTTTTAGCTCTGGCACCCTGAGTGTCAAAGCCTGAGACTCAGCACAGAATCCATGTGCAGGTTCATGACAAGGCCTTTGTCCCAGTGCACATTCCTGTGATGTGGAGGTCACCTGGACCTCATCAGCAAAGGAAAGCTCCACAGGCTCGTTTCTGCTCCTTTCAGAAGAGACAGCCACAGCTCTCAGTGCTCCCTCTGAGAACAGTCCTTGGAGGGATGAGGGATGAAACATGTTGGCTTTTCCTACCAAGCAGCAGCAGGAGCACTTGTGTGTCCCACAGAAGCAGCTGGCCTAGTGTAAGGCAGTGCTCCCCACAAGCCCCTGATAAGCCCCAGAAATCTGCTGCAAGGCTGTTCACCCTTGTACCCAGATGCTGCTCTCTGAACTGCCAGAGATCAAGGGCAAGCACTGGAGAGGAGCCTCACCAATGCACTTTGGCTCTGGAGCATGTCAGCCCAGTCAGGTGGAGGGCTCAGCATCATTTTCCCTTAGACCCACTAGTGCTGTGGGATAGAGGAGCCATTAGTGAGCCTCATTCTTCCTTTAAGCAGATGCTTCTGCTCTTATCCTCAGCCTGTTAGAGCATGAAGCCATTCAGGTCCTGTCCTAATGCACATGTCCCGCATGTGTTTCTCCCAGCAGGGTCTGAAGTGGTGAGGGATAACAGGTGGTACAGAAACCCCAAGAATCTGGCTCTGAAATTCACACATTTCCCCTGCCGCTGCGCCCCCCCCCCAACACACACGCTCTTGGGATTTGGGAAGGAAGACCATGTTTTCTTAGGGGAACACAAGTGTCAAGGTCCAGTCCTGCTCTGAGGCCCATCCCAGCAGAAGGAATAGCAGTGTTTGCCCTTTGCCAGCAGGGCAGGAACTAATCTGGAGTTTCTCTTCTCCATGCAGGAGGTGCCTGCCTGCTGAGCAGAGTTCAGGAGCAGCCTTCTGAGGAAGGGCCTGCAAGCCTGGTGCCACAGTGGATTTCCCCAGGGAGTTTGGGTGAGATGGACTCCCTGAGACCTGAGACGAACCAACGGCGCAAGAGTCAGAGGAGGCCCCAAAAGCAGAAGGAGAACGTAGCGGTGAACCAGGTACTAGCTCCAATTTGGCATGAGAGTGGAGAAAGGACAGAACCCAGAAAGAACCCTGGGTGGAGGGAAGAATTTGTGGAGCTGAGAGACCTGAAGAGTCACAAGGCAAAGTTCCACTGCAGAGAGACCCTGCATCCAAACCAAACCAGTGGAGTCAGCTTCAGAGGGAAGCAGGAGCTCACTGCCAAGCACAGGAAGAGAGCCCACCCCTGTCCTGGGTGCAGGAAAACCTCTAACTGCCCCTCACTCCTGGCTCTGCACAAGATAGGGCACATTGGGGAGACGCCCCACATATGTGCCATGTGCGGGAAGAGCTTCACCTGCCTCTTGACCCTGGCTGCTCACTGCAAGAGCCATTCAGGAGAGCTCCCATACCACTGTACCAAATGTGAGCAGAGCTTTGTGTGCAGCTTGGACCTGGCCAAGCACCAACATGTGCACAGGGAGAAGCATCAGTACCGTTGTGTCACGTGTAGTAAGACCTTCACCTATTTCTCCTCCCTGGCTCAGCACCGGCGCATCCACTTGGGGAGGAAGACACACCACTGCACCAAGTGCAGGAAGAACTTAATTTTCTGGCAGGATCTATCCCAACATCGGTGTGTGAAGAAGGCAGACAAGCCACACCACTACACCAAGTGTGGGAAGAGCTTCAGGCAGCCCTCTAATATGGCCAGGCACACGCTCATGCAAACAGGGGAAAAGCCACATCAGTGCTCTGTGTGTGGGAAGCGCTTCACCCAGCCCTCCCACCTGGCCAAACACCAGTGCATCCACACAGGGGAGAAGCCACACCAGTTCCCTGAGCATGGGAAGAGCTTCAGCTGCTCCTCAAACCTGGCCCAGTACCAGCGTATCCACACAGGAGAAAAGCCATATCTTTGCTCTGATTGTGGGAAGAGCTTTACCCACCCTTCCCACCTGGCCAAGCACCAGCTTATCCACACAGGAGAGAAGCCACATCAGTGCTCTGTGTGTGGAAAGAGCTTCACTCAGTCCCCACACCTGACCCAGCATCAGCGCATCCACACAGGGGAGAAGCCACATCAGTGCCCTGTGTGTGGGAAGAGCTTTGGTCAGTCCTCCACCTTGGCCCAGCACCAACGTATCCACACAGGGGAGAAGCCACATCTTTGCTCTGTGTGTGGGAAGAGCTTCAGCCGCTCCTCCACCCTGGCCCGGCACCAACTTATCCACACAGGGGAGAAGCCCCATCAGTGCTCTGCATGTGGGAAGAGTTTCACCCAGTCTTCCCACTTGGCCCAACACCAGCGCATCCACACAGGGGAGAAGCCACATCAGTGTTCTGTGTGTGGAAAGGGCTTCATCCACTCCTCCAGGCTGGCCGAGCACCGACACATCCACACAGGTGAGAAGCCACATCAGTGCTCTGTGTGTGGGAAGTGCTTCACCCAATCCTCCAGCCTAGCCAAACACCAGCACCTCCACACAGGGGAGAAGCCACACCAGTGCCCTGTGTGTGGAAAGAGCTTCAGCTGCTCCTCTACCCTTGCCCAGCACCAGCTTATCCACACAGGGGAGAAGCCATATCAGTGCTCTGTGTGTGGGAAGAGCTTCACCCGCTCCTCCACCCTGGCCCGGCACCAGCGTATCCACACAGGGGAAAAGCCACATCAGTGCTTTGTGTGTGGGAAGAGCTTCACTCAGTCCTCCATCCTGGTCCAGCACCAGCGCATCCATACAGGGGAGAAGCCACACCAGTGCTCTGAATGTGGGAAGAGCTTTACCCACTCCTCCAGCCTGGCCCAGCACCACCGCATCCATACAGGGGAGAAACCACATCAGTGCTCTGTGTGTGGGAAGAGCTTCACCCAGTCCTCCAACCTGGCCAAACACCAGCGCATCCACACAGGGGAGAAGCCACACCAGTGCTCTGTGTGTGGGAAGAACTTCAGCTGCTCCTCCACCCTTGCCCAGCATCAGTGCATCCACACAGGGAAGAAGCCACATCAGTGCTCTGAGTGTCAGAAGAGCTTTACCCACTCCTCCAGCCTGGCCTATCATCAGCTCATGCACACACGGAAGACACCACATCAGTGCTCGTAGTGTGGGAAGAGCTTCACTCAATATTCCCACCTGGCCCAGCAACAGTGTATTTACACCCGGAAGCATTCATACATAATTCTGCCAACAATACCAGAAGGGCTTGTGGGGTGGGGGGAAACTACAGAAAAAGTTTACCCAGCCCTTGGCCCTTGCAGGGCACTACAGGACCCAGAGGCTGGGCCACAAGGTTTGATTGTGGGAGGGAAGGGGCTCAGGCAAAATGCCTCAGACAGGGGCCAGCCTAAATGCTGGGAGAGCCTGTGAGGAGATGCTCTTTGTATCAGCCTTGGAGTCTATGCATCTCCCATCATTCTCTAAAACCGGTCAGTACTCCCAGGGGAAGAAGTGCCTTCACAATACAGTGCCTTCCCCAAGACAGCTGCCTCCAAATGACACCCAGGGACTTTTGCCGCCTCCCAGCTTTGTCCTCCCTCCTGGTCCTAGGGTTCCGGTGTGTGAGGCTCTGATCCCATGATTTTTGGATGCATACCAAGAGCTTCGAGATGACTCTACCCTTCATTTTTTTCAGTTTTGGAGCAGAGACAAATTTCTGGGAGCAGGTGGCAATAGTAAAAATGTTTACAGATCTTGTTATGGAGCCGGATGTGAGAACATTACTGGAGTGCTACTGTGAAAAATTGTGTTACATAGAGAAGGTGAAAGATGTGGACTGTTTGCACTGGGCCATAGTATGCCCATTTGTTAGTGTGGACAGACCTCTCCAAGGATTATGGGGGTGTGAGGTATCTCCCTCCAGAATAGCCTTAGGGTTCCATAGGGAGAGCCCAAACTTTGTCATAAGTGTGGGGAGCATGAGTATCTTACCATAGCTTCACACAGATTCTGTGCTCCTTGTGTAAAGGGAGGGGATGTGAGAAAACACTGTTACTAAGCGTGGGTATGTAATGTATGTGGAGAGAGGGGCCACAGGTTCCAGTCTTGCCCCAAAATCTTTGTGACCATCTTGAGAAGGAGGAGACCAGCTGGCACAAGGGACACAGAGGAGAGGGAAGAGGCAGGCAGAGAGGAGAGCAAAGAACCACAGGAAAAACAGGAAGAAAAGAGGAGGAGCTGTGGCAGATGGAGGAGACAGTGCAACAGAGTCGGAAAGAGATTTTTGAGTTGGGTTCTTGGGGTTGTTAGAAGAACAAGATGAACAAGGGCAGACTAGTACTTCCAGAAGTGGAGGGAGAGGTGGGGCATCTTGGAAGAAGAAAGAGAGAAGGGGATGGAGTGGCTCGCTGAAAGTGCAAAAAGAAAAACAGGATTAGCAAACATGGGAAGGGTGGTGGAGAAGAAAAATAAGGAAAGGCAGGGAACAAGACATGGGGCTGGAGGAGGGAGAGCCTTCCTCTGTAGAGGCCCCTGCCAACCAGAAAGTTCAGGCCACAGGTGCAAGATGGTAACAAGATGGAACACTCCCTCTGCAACAACTCAGTCACCAAAACTCCCTATGGGGCTGCAGGCAGCCGGGGTGCAGGGGGCCAAGCCCTGCCTGCTTGTGCTGGGGCCGCCCATGCTGCGTTCCCACCAGTGCCCATGGCCCAGGTGGGTGCTTCTTTGCTCCCTGCACCTCCAGCAGTAGCTCCTGCTCCTTGTCTTGCCCACCCTGCACCACGCTGCTCCAGGCGGACAAACGGCTTCAGCCAGGCAGCTCCTGCTCCATCACATAGGACTCCAGCTCCAGCTTCCAGGAAGATGGCTGGGGCTCTGGCTTCAGCTCCTATGCAGTGGGGCAGGAGCTGCCCAGCTGAAGCTGCCTGCCTGCTTGCCCAGAGAGGTGCAGCATGGCACGGCAGGGGCAAAATCAGGAGCAGGAGCCTCTGCTGGAGGTGGGGCAGTAGAGTAGCACCCAGCTGGCTGCAGCTGCGCCAGGAACAGCCCTGCAGGAAGCTGCACACACTGGCTGGGGCCAGGCCACACGTGCCAATAGGAGACAGGAGTGGGCTACGCTAACATAAGCTGATGTGCTTGGCCCCATTTAGCCGGACCCAGTTACCTGCTGGGCTGAATCTGGCCTGCAGTGGGGTGGTATGCCAGGGGCGAGGATTATGATTACTTTGAGGAGAGGTGGACCTGGGGACCTTCACAATGGTCTGGCACTAATGAAAAGAGAGCATCTGGCATGGTTCTGGTACAGAACCCATCTATTAGCAATTGACAAGTGGCAGAGGTGGTAAGCAGGAGGATTTTACAGTGATACTGCTTTTAGTAACATGTATGTGACCTCTTAGAAAGGCAAGCCTGCTGTGGGTATTGAGTAAGCTTGCAGTGAGCTTCCCAGGATCCAAACCCAGTGTATAGCTGGGAAATTTCAACTGTTTTATACTGGCAGGAGATCAGAAAGCGAGGAGAGGGGGAGGGAATGGACAAAACCTCCAGACTGTTGAAACAAATTGTGGAGAAAAACACTTGGCAGGATGTGGAGAGGAGAGGCCCAGAGGAGGAAGTGATGGTTGTGAGGGTCGACTGAGCATAACTTTTCACTCAAGAATTGATTTTACCTTCTGGTTTCAGCATTCAGAGGTGAAGGAAGTGGAGATGGTTGATGTTGACGTTGAGGGTGGTGCTAGATTTCTTTTTGGACTTTTTATGTTGAGGACAATGTTGAAATAAGGAAAATGTTTTGTTTTTGATACTTATTGTTATTTTAATGATAATGATATTTCCCTGCCTCTGCACCCCGATTCCAGATAGGACCACCAATTGCTGTCCCTTCTTAGACATGCTGTCCTGCCTCTGCCCTGCATTTTGGATTGTTGAAACACAGCTCTCTCGTGTATCTGACCTGGCTTGCGACCTGGCCTTGCTCTGTGTAGTGTTTTGGCCCTGAGTCAGACTCTGACTCTCTAGCTTTGACCCTGGCTACCCCTTGTACCTCAGCTAATGGCTCATGTGAACTACTAGCCAGACAGCCAATGCCTCGGTATGTGACAGTGCAGCACCTGGTTCAAGGAGACAGAGCCGTCCCTAGGGGTGTGTGGGGCCCGGGCCATATCAGCCTATGTGGGGCTGGGGAGGTGGGAAACAGCCGGAGTGGTGGGGACCGAGCATACGGTGGCTACAGCGGGACCTGTACGGCACTGTGTGGGGACCCCCCAAAGCTTGGGGCCTGGGGCAGTCACCCCAATTTGCCCCTCCCTCCCCCAGGGATGGCCCTGCAAGGAGAGACCTGGTCTTGGGCAGGGGTTGCTCAGCACTGTGTACCTGTGCCATGCACTGAGCATACCAATTCTCAGCTCCTCCCCTATTTGTCAGCAATGTGTCTGGGCCATGTTCTTAGCTCCATATATCTGTTTCAGTGCTGGGGGGGCAATTCCAGCCCCCACATAGGTCCATTCTCAACCCCGTCCCTCATTGCAGCTCTGGGGACAGAAATAACAGAGAATATAGAAACCTGAGGAGATGGGGTGTCGGTGGGGGGGGTGGGGAAAGCCTGGAGGGGATGGGTTAGGTTCCCTAGAAATTCTCTGAGAGCTTCAGCAGTCAGCGGGAATGGATGAGCTTGAGGGAGAGTGAGTTGCATTGTGGGGAACAAGGGAGCCTTGGAAGGAACCAGGGAGAATGGAAGAGCCCTGAGGGGTGAGGAATTTAAAAGGGCCAAGAGAACTGAGGAGACAGGATGTTGGGCATGAGCAGGGAGGCTATGAAAGGATGGAAAGATAAATTGAGAGGTGATAAAGCAGCCTTGAGACAAGGACTTTGCATTGGCAGGGGTGGGGGGAACTGAGTGAATGGGGAGTTAGTGTGGAATGGGAGAGCCTGAAGGGATGGGGTCAGGGGGTTCCTGAAGGGACTGCAAGTCAAGTTAGGGAAACAAGGAGCCTTGATGGGTGACAAGGGGAGAAGGTGGAGACCAGGGGGGGCTTTAAGGCAAAGAAGAACTGGAGGAGCCCTTCAGAGACAGGGAACTAGAAAGCAAGGTAGAACCTGAGTGGGAGTCAGTGGGGGAACTGGCATGCCCGAGGGACTGGGGAGAGGGCAGAGGCCTGGGAAAACAGGGTCCAACTGTGGGGTCCTGACATATTGGCAATTGGAGGAGGAGGGGTGTTGTGAAAGGTGAACAGTATGTGTGGGACATGCATGTTCCAAATTTCTGTGCTCTCCATGCCCTCCTTCAGGCTCTCTGCTTTCTCACCCTGATCCATCCCACTCCAAAAGGGGCCCAGGGACCAGCTCAGATTCTCTGGCCATTCACTGCCCCTATGTGTGGCAGGAGGGCTCCTTCCCTCCCAAGTTTCAAGATCACTTCAGCCTACCAAGGGAGACTCCTACACAGGTGGCCAGTGCGAATTTGGAGTGAGTCAGGCCCTGGGTTCAAAACCTAATTGCTGTTTTCTGACAAAGGTCAAGTGCTTTAATGCCCAAAGTAGATTAGTCTGAACCACTGGGGTTCATAGGCAGAAATCCCTGGAAGAGCTAGGTGTCGGAAGTTGGAGCTCAAATTAGCTGAGCACACAGGGATCTGGATTCAAAACCTCTGAGCACCTTCCACCCCACTCCCACCTGCCTGTGGAAACATCCCTCAGAGCTGGATTCAGGGAGGTGGTCAAATAACTTGGTTTTGTCTACACAAAGACCTAAGAGAGCTTTAATCCACATTTATTTTTATGGCAGAGTAACATGTTCCTTTGAATACTGACTACTTTTGAATAGGAGGTAGACCCATGTTTCCCGACTCGCAGTGTAAGGAGATAAAGCATCCATCAAAGTTGCATTAACAAGGATGAAGTCTTCACGGTCTATATGTTTTTACTGGGTTTTGTTTTACCCGATGTTTAAGATCCAGGGCACTTTGGAAGAACTGTTTGTCTTTTCAGAGTGTTGTATTTGAAAGATTTATTATATTTGTTCCTCCCCACCTCTCCTGTGTGAAATTCTTATTTAGACTAAGTGACTTAAATTAAATTTTGGGAGTGAGTTCAGCTCGTGTGAAGAGAGACCAGTTTCACTGGGATGGCAATGACCCATAGAAGGGGATTCATGTAACTTAAGAGCCACTCCACTGTTACTTCGATCAGACTCATTGTTCTAGTTATCCTGGGAAAGGCAAGCCCTGGCTGCTGTTTGTACCACCCCTCCCTGTCCCCAGGGCAGCACTGGAGAGGGGACACAACAGTGCAGAGGCATTCCGGCCCCCAACCCCCGAGTGTCTTGGCTCTCCTGGCAGTGCAGGAGTGGGATTCCTGGGGACTCCTGTCCAGCTTCACCCCCTGCTTCGGACCCAATAACAGCAGTCACAGAATGGGGGGAAAGTGAAAGAGGTGAGGTCAATCAGTGCTGGGACTGTGGTGTCTAGTAGTACATGTGCACTGGCAGAAGTGAGTGGGGGGGCCACTGCACCAGGCTGCAGCAGCAGAGGGTGCAGCTCATAGAGACACACGTACTGCTGCACAGCTGTCCCAGAGACCCCTCCAGCCCCCAGGGCACCAGGCCACTGGTAGGGAGATGCTGGCCCCACCCCTGCTAGGGAAGGAGCTCAGCAAGGGAGACCTTCCCTCTCCCTGACAGCTCCTGTGCTGTTCCGGTGTGCAGAAGCCAGGGGAGCATGTTCAGACGGGTAGCTGGGGCTGCACCCTGGGGCCTTCCACTGAGATAGGAATCCAGGGCTGCCTCCAGCCCAGGAAGTAAGCAGGACGGGCATAAACCAGAGACACCAGCCCTGGGTGCTGGAGATGCAGAGGTCAGAGACAGCAGCCGACAAACCATAGCCCTTGCACCAGAGGCAGCTGCAGGACTCTACCCCCCTGGGATAGGAACAGGACACAGGCCTCTGAGCTGGCCCTGGCCAGGACCAGAGACAGCAGTGGGGAACAAAGCCTTGGCCAGAGGAGCACAGGGAGGCTACTCAAGGACCTGGTGTTGCTGCCCCTGCCCCTGGGGAAGTGAATGCCCCATAAGTTGCCATTACTGGTGAGGCGAACATTAGGGCTGTGTGAAACAGCAGCGTTCCATTTCGACGTTTTGATGGAATAGTGTTTGGTTTTGAATTTTGTTTCGATTCGAAACAGCTGTTCCGTTCCATCAAAACAGGGTCGAAACGGCGAAACTTTCAACGTTTTGCCCATAGGATATAATGGGGAAGGACAAAACAGCCAGTAACTGTAATTTCTAGCCTGATTTGGATGAAACAGGAATCGTAGCCCCTTCTGAGGGCAGGACACCTGCCAAGTTTCAAGGAGGTAAGTGCGGGGGGCTCGAGGAAACTACCTCCCAAAATCTTGAAAGCAAAACTCGTGTATGTGTTTAAGATACAGAGGGGTCAAAACTGCAGGCATGCTAGTCCCTGCTGAGGCCACAAAGCATGCCAAGTTTCAAGGAGATAGGTTCAGGGGTTTGGGGGAAACCACCTCAAGCTGCAGACAAGCAAAATTTGTGACATAGGTGACACTGTGTGTTAAGGCGCAGCAGGGTGAAAGCTGCAGGCCTGCTAGCCCCCGCTGAGGCCACAAAACCTGCCAGCTGTCAAGGAGATAGGTGTAGGGGTTCTGCGTTCTGAGGCCCTGCACCTCTAGCTGCTGACAGGCAAAACTTGTGTCATGGGTGCTTGTGCAACTGTGTCTGTCTTGGGGCAGGAGGGGGAACCTACTGCAGGCCTGGCTGCTAGGCCCTGCTGTGACCACAAAGCCTGCCAGCTGTTAAGAAGACAGGTGCAGGGGGGTTCTGGGGCCCTGCACCCCTAGCTGCTGACAGGCGAAACTCATGACATGGGTGCTTGTGCAACTCTGCTGCCTCTCATCAGGCAGCAGGACTGAAGATCCCACATGACTTGCCACCACAGACCTGGGGGTAATAATGATGAGCTGGCAGTGCGATGCTGTAGCCAGCAGGGCTAACAATACCCTGGCATGCATCAATTGATGCCTCTCCAGCAAAACCATTGCAAAGAAGTGATTCTCCTGCTCCACTCAGCCTCGGTTATGTAGCAGAAAGCCCCCTTTTCCTCTTGCCTGTGTTTGCTCTCCCCTCTTTGGATATGTTTCTCTTTTTCTACCTTTTCTTCCTTCCTCTCTCTTTCACTTTAAGATAAGGAATTGTGTTTTAAAATTTGTGTGCGCGCATTTTGTATCTCCCCTTGTATTTTGGTATTTTTATCTATTTGTGTGCCATGGCATTTGTAGCTTATATTTTATACTCCTCACCTTTCAACTAAATGTGTTTTAGTAAGTTATACATTGTAACAATGTTAACAAGGGTAGGAATCAAACTGTCCTTCATTGTATCAGGCTGGCCCCTGAAAGAGCGAGTGAATCAGTGATTCAATGTGATTGAATGTGTAACATAGTAGCAGACAGCAATTATCACCTGGAAGCTGCAGATCAACCAAGGGAAGAACTCAATAGAAGACAATGTAACAACCGGGAAATCTCCAAACCTCACTGATCAAGGGCTAGAAGCCCTGGCCTGAGTTAATCAACGCCAGAGACACAAAGCTCACAAAGACACTCTCATGGACCCAGAAAGACAGACTTCCATCTTCAGCTCCCTCTGCAAAAATGAAGTTTATTTCTGACCTATGGGGACTTTTTACCATCTTGTACCATCTACACTTTTCCCAGAGCCTGACAAAGAGACTTTGATTCCCAAAAGCTTGCAGAAAAGGATAATTTTCTTGCCATTTTCCAGTTGGTCTAATAAAAGGTATAATTTTGGAACCAAGAGTTCTAGTTTTTGTTTATGTACTTAAATGCATGGATTTTTACTTAAAGCTCTTTTTTGTTTCTTTAAATGCCACCTTCTTCCCTGGGAGAGAAAGGGACAGCCATGAGCTGCAAATAGGTCTTCCTAATAGGATAGGTACTTAACAAACAACGTTATGCTGGGGTGTTTTTCAAGGGGGAGTGTCTGTTTTTATGCTGATTCTCTTTACCCTAGAAAAGGGAATAAGAGAGCAAAACAAGTTATTTTGTTATCTGACACCCTGAGGGTGGAATGGGAGATTGCTAGCCTGAAACTTTTCTTTTAAAACTTCTTTAATTATACTTTTGAGTCAGGATCCGAGTGTTCCTGAGTTATTTCCCCAGCTGTTTAGAATGATTGAGTTCTGCTCATTCAATATGATTTGGAACTGATTTGGCTAATTTGACCTGGAGTATGAAATATATATTTTTTTAAATTCCCAGCTCAGGAGGAGCTTTTCCCTCTCCCATAGGTGTGTTGAGCTGCTTGGCAAGATAAGCTACCATCAGCGTGGAGGGCAAATTGGGCCCTTTGTGGCCCCCATCTCAGGTGAGTAGAAGATTGTGAGTGGGTGGGGGCTGTAGTGGGCTCTAAGGGCAGCGCTCTAATGCCCGAGGGACAGGAGGCTCTTCCTCTTCACTCCCACCTCCATCTGGGTTCTGCCCCAGTGGTGACAAGACAAACAAATCTAAAGCACCCTCATTTAACGGTGCACCAACAGAGATTTTGGGGGCTAATACTGATGGCCAATTTTTAAGGAGGCATATCGGCTGATACCAATCCGTTTCCGATTGTGGTGGAATGGGAGAGGGGAGGGAAGGGAGATTTGGGGTGGGGGGCAGATCAAGGCCCCTGCAGTGAGGGAGGGAGGCTGGGGCATGGGCTGGGGCAGGACTCGGGGTGGGCGGCAGCAGTGCTGGGAGGGGGAGGTTAGAGACAGGGCTGCAGATACCCCAAATTTTTTGCCATAGCCCCCCAGCATGCTCCAGGAAGAGCCAACTGCAGCCCCCCCACCCCTTTCCCCTGTGCCCTCCCGGGGTGCATGCAACAGCAGGAGCCATGCCCTGTGCCCCCTGGATTAGCTGCAGTTCTGTCCTGTGCTCTGCCCCTGCCCTACTCCCTCCTGCACCACAGGGGGCACTGATCTGCCCTGCCCTGCCCCTTCCCCCATCCCCCAACACCAAAAAAGACTTACCAACTGGACGCAACTCTCCAAGCTGCCTGGTTGTGCTCCTCGCTGCCTGAATGCTGCACTGGGGCTGCCCAGCCCCGAGGCGCCCCCAGCTCCATGCAGGAACTTACCCCCTGCCTCCGTCCCCCCTGGCTGGCCCTGAGGCGCCCCCAGCTCTGCGCGGGAACTTACCTCATGCCTCCGTCTACCATACATGCAGGCAGGGCACAGGCCATGCTGTAGCTGCCCCGGCCACGTGCTGGGGGCAAGGGGCAGAGCCTGTCCCCAGCTCATCCAATCAGGCACAGCTGAGGCGGGGCCGCTGCAGCAGGAGCCGGCTCACTGATGAGCCAGGCCCTGCGGGGATAAGCAGCTCCCCTCCCCTCGCTGCTGGCTGGGGGCCGCCGGGCAGACCTGCCCCCCCCCCCCCTGCCCGGGCCGCCGCTGCGGATCCATGCTCTGCCACCACTGCCACCACCGCCGCGGCTTTGCGCTTCGCTGGCACTGCGCCGTGCTCCACTGGTGCTGCCACCGCCGCTCCACACTCTGCCGCTGCCGCCGCCGCTCCACACACGTCGCTGCTACTGCAGCTCCGCATTCCACTGCCGTAGCTCCACCAGCACTGCCACCGCTGTGAGTGCTTCAAGTCCAACCCCTGCCTGGGCAGGAGGGAAACTGGGCTCAAGTGACCCCAGCCATGTAGGCATCGAGCCGCTTCTTAAAGACCCTCAGCGTAGGAGCCAGCACCACTTCCCTTGGAAGTTGGTTCCAGATCCTAGCCGCCCTGACTGTGAAGTAGTTCCTACGGATGTCTAATCTGAACCTACTCTCCAACAACTTGTGGCTGTTATTTCTTGTTATCCCGGGGGGCGCTGGGGGAAACAAGGTCTCCCCCAACCCCTTCTGCTCCCCCCTAGTGAGTTTGATCTTAATAACATCTATTCCTTAATGTAGTCCCTGACCCAAGGCAAGAGACAGTCCTCCTTCCTGTCACAACCAAATTAAATAGTGTTCATGCCACAAGCAAGAAATATTAATCAAAACAGTTTTAGTCTGCACTAGGTTAACCAAGGGTTAACTAACAAGATGATAGTAACAGGTTTTTTTTTTGCTGCGCGTGTCAAAAAGAAATTTATTGCTGCGCCACTAATAGAGCTAGAACTTAGCCTTCTGTGCTATACATAAATCATTGTAATTGGTTGGAGTGACAGGGGAGTATTCCCTGCTACAAACACCCTACAAAAAACTGCTAGGTAATTGGCGATTCTAATTAAATTTATGACGTGGCGAAAAGCAATTGGCTATTACACCAATAAAACCCACATACACTTCCGCAAAGAGGAAGAAGAAGGGGAGAGCGACTCCGTATACATCTGGAGACCTCTGATCACACATATCAGAGTAACTGACAATTTAATCACTTGTCAGAGCCCCCCCATGTCTCGACCCAATCTCAGACGTAAATCAACGACCTGCCGGCCCTACCTTTTCTGCCCGACCACCGAACTCTTATGCAGACCGACCTACGAACCCTAAGCTGTAACTAACCAAGTATCTCTGACCTCCGTTATTCACCACCTTGACGGCGTGAGTAAATAATCTTGCTTTGCAACTGATAAGCGTCCGCCTAATTAATTCCACTCCAAGCATCACAAGTACCTGCCTGATGGCTTCTAAGGTCCCGACCCCACCGCTGCAGTGCACGGCAGCGACACTTCCAACGGGGTCCTTTGGTGGGGGGGTGTCCAGGAAGCACCAGGAGCCCCTCCCCTTAGGGTCTTGAATAGGCCGGGGTGGGGGGCTCCTCACCCAGTCCCTTCTCTGGGTTTGCCCTCCCCAAACGTCTTTCCCCTGTGGGACCCGAGGACCCAATGACTCACGCTTCCTCAGGTGGCGGTGGTCAGGGGGCAGCTTGATGGGGTCTCTTCTGCTGGAGTCTCTCTCCAGGCCTCTCCCACACCGCTGGGCTCCTTCCCACCCTGTGCCCCGCTCTGGGCACCGAGAGCTTAGCTCCTCTCAGCTGCTGCACCACCGCTGCTGGCTCCTGGGTGCTGGGCCTCATGCTGGAGCACTACTATTTCCCCATGCCCTGGCTTCACTGAGGGCTCTTTTAGCATGGGCTGGGCCCTTCAGGCTCTGTCTGTCTGTCCTAACGCTGGGTGGCTAACCCAAGCAGCCTCTGCTGCTCCCTGGCTCCCAAGGCTCGGGCCTGTGTGCTGCCTTGCGCACCATGGGACCTGGCCGCTTGCTGGGAGATGGGGCCTGAGCCACCTCACTGCAGCCCCCAAGGCCCTTGCTCTGTGCACTGCTCCACGCACCGTGTGGCCTGCTGGCCCTGTCACAGTTGCATGCTCGAGCTGCTGCTTGCAGCTCCCAACACCTGGGCTCCGTGCACCGTACCGTGCACCATGATGGGCCCGAGCTGTCTCCCCGCACCATCCCCGTGCACTGTCAACAGCCCAAACAGTCTCACACTGCTCCCAAG